TCTCAAAATAGACTATAATAACTTCATTTTGGGCTTCCCAAACAGCGCCATTGTCTTCATCTGTTACTTTGAGAAACCCTAATCTTAAAACATCCAACCTTCCCACCACCCTCTCAATAGTCAGTATCCAAAGCTCTCAACCAACACTATGAGCTAACCACTTGTTCCTTCATGACCTATATCTACTATCTCCTCCATTCTCTCTCCACAATCCCAATCATCTCCACAACAATTTCAGTTATGTTCTATCTCCTTCTCGACCTTTTAAATTTCAATTGTCATTTGCCGATATCACAAAGTCCGAACTCAAATCCAACTATCATATTAACTTATATTTTCTTAATATAAGGTCCATTTTAAGCATTTCATAACTTCCATAATAAATTTTCATTTATTTATGTAACAGAGTATAAACGGGAGGAAGAAAATTACTTTGGCAAGGGAAAAAAAATGGAAAAATTATAAAGGCATTGTGTACTTGGTTATTGACCTAAATGTTTAAAATTGTCAAAATGGATTGTTCACGTGGTGTCTCCTCCTCTCTAATTAAAATTTTGAAAGGTCCCATGTTCAAGAAAAAGAAGGGTAGAAAAATGTTTGGTGAAAAAAGTTGTGTCCACTTGTCAATTTGAAGGAGGCTAGCTCAATTAAAAGAAGATTGATATTTTTTTTAACAGTGGATAGGAAGAAATTAGGAAATAAAAATTTGTATTGACGATCAATGAAACTTGATTTTTTGAATCACACCCAATTGTGAAGTAACTAGAAAATATAGTGAAGAAACACAAAAGAAAAAAATTCGAAAAATAAAATTATATTCTTACCCTAAAAAATTTATATCATGTTGATGTATGTACGAGTAAGATTTTAATCTTTTGAGAACCGAACAAAAATAAATTTTTTAGTGAAAATAAATTAAAGCTTATTATCATCATTTCTATAAACTTACTCCAATAAATTTTTAATTTTCTAGTCCTTGCAAACCATTGTTACAATTCGTAAGAGTTGTCGTGTTGTTATAGTCCTTGAATTATATTATGCTCATGATTAATTGTATTTTCTCAAAAAATAAAAAGGTCAGCAATCTCAATTTTTTTATCAGTAATGCCACAGACCCTCAGTGACCCCCCAGTGCCACGTGTCGGCCTGGGGTTGGCTGAAAACAAAAAAAAAATATATATATATATTTTTTTGACCAATAGGAAGGGATCCCAGCACCCTCACTGAGGGTCCGAAACTTTATTCTTTTTTTATTGTCTCAGCACTCACAAAAATATTTATGGGAATGCAAGTACACACCCCCTAAAAATGAGAAATTTTGTTGTGATAATATGTGATTTCGAAATTGGTGAATTACACTACTAGTCCCTATAGTTTGAGACTCGTATCACTTTGATTTTTGATTTTTTAATTGTGACACATTTGACCCTGAATTTTGAATCTTATTTTAAATAAAGATAATTGAAGATGTTATTGTTTAATTTTAAAGGCAAAATCGTTAATTTGATAAAATATAAACTACTTTGACAAAAATAAATGTCAAAAAAATATTTCGTAATTTTTAAAAATTATTTCTACCCACCAAAAATAAAATTATGTAAAATTAATAAATTTTTTAGACAATTTTTTTTTACCAAATTAATTTTTATTATGTGTTTGGATAACGATTATGTAATGGGTGGTTATTAAGATTTTAATGTGTAATCAATATATTTAATATATGAAATATTTTTAGTTTTGGATTTTTTGATTTAATGTATTAGTTTAATAATTATATCAAAGTTGTCGCCATATTTGACTTTTGAAAAAATAGAAACTAATTTAATAACAATAAAAACAACTACCCATGAACATCATCCAAACACATAATAAAAATTAATTTGGTAAAATAAATAAATAAATAAATGTCTAAAAGATTTATCAATTTATATAATTTTATCTTTAATGGATAGAAATAATTTTTAAAAATTTAAAAATATTTTTTTGACATTTATTTTTGTCAAATTAGTGTATATTTGATCAATCAAATTGATGATTGTACCTTTGAAATTAAGCAATAATATCTTCAATTATCTTTATTTAAAATAATATTTAAAATTTAAGATTAAATGTGTCATAATTAAAAAATTAAAAATTAAAATGACACAAATCTCAAATTATAAGAACCAGTATAACTCCCCTTTTGAAAGTATATCATAATTGTTCACGGTTTTTCACACCAAACGGTTCGTAATGAAGACATTTTTTTTATAATATGACCCTTGTAATATAATTATATGGATAGATTGGAATTGGGGTCACTGCTATTATAGGCTTATTTTTATGATCTGAACCATTCATTTTGTAGGATTTGTTAAGTACTTCATGGTTACCAAAAATCATATTAATCGGATATCAATAACTATATGATCGAATTGCATATTTTTATACTATTTTTCAAAAGAAAAACTTCTTGTTTATTTTTTTGGTTATCAATCATATAATTATTGATATCCGATTAATATGATTTTTAATAAACATGAAGTACTCAACAAACCCTATAACATGAACGGTTCAGATTATAAAAATAAATCCATAATACACCACAAAATGAGACACAACAGTCACTGCTGCCCAATTCTGGATAGATTACATTCACCTCTCATGAGATTTAAAATATATATAATTAGCCTCACATTTTTGACATAATTACACTAAATTCTCTTTTAATAAAGTTAAAGTGATCAAAACTAATCCACATGGTTGGTAGATATTAAAATAAATAAAAATAAATGTACATTTAGTTAAAAAAAAAAAGTGATAATAATATTATTTTTTCACTTATACAAATAACAAATTGCTAATGAAAAAAAGGTTTAATTGTTATCCAAAATAAAACTTCAAGTGACACACTGTAATTATATTAAAAGTGTAAGATTAATTATATTTTCTTTAAATCTCAAATGAAGTGAGTATAATTTACTCTAATTATAATGTAATAGTTCATAACTAACCTCACAAAAATATAACAAATTATAATTTTTTTTTTTTATGATAAGGAAGTGTACAATGATAGCCTTTCCAAATAGTTATAATGAAATTAGGTGGCAACAAAGGGGGCGAATTGAGAAGTTTATGTTCCTTTTAGATTAGAAATAGCATACCACCTTGCTAGTTTTGTTTTTGTTATAATTAAAAAAATAAAAACAAATAAAAAAAAAGAGTATAATTTATCTATTACAAACAAATTGACATATTGTCTTCATTTGAGATAGGACAAGGGGTACCTGCTGTGCATGCAAAAACAACAGATTTCAGAATTTTTTTTTTTTTTTTTTTTTTTTCTTCTCTCTTTTGGCGCACAGCAGTACCTGCTGTACAGCAGGCACCCCTCTTCCTTTGAGATATGGGTTGACTTTTTGACTATTTTACTCTGAGATTAAAAAATCTCATTTAGGATGGATTTTTTAACTTTTTATACTTTTGTGAGAGAAAAAAATGAAATGATTATGATTTACATGTGACATTTTGTCTTATTAGTATTTTAATATATTTTATCTTTTTATGACTAAAATAGCAAAAAAAAAAAAACCCATGCCAAACATAGCCATTAGGATGCAACTTGATAAATGACTGTACATAAAAAGACAACAAAACGTTACAATAACTTCAATAGTTTGTCAAATTCTTAAATCAAAGTCATTTTTAATTATAAAATAAAAACCTATTCCATGATATTTCAAATCTTAAGCAAAAATTAAACAAAGCTGAATTAAAAGATTCAATGGTAAGTATGAGAATTGATTGCGCCAAAATAATATGAAAACGATTGAAATGATATATCTAAAAAATAAATTTTTTTAATATTGTAACAAATAAGAAAATGGCTTTAACAAAATTATTTTACCAGAACAATCACATGTCTATTAGTTTTCGAATTCCTCCCTAGTGTCTCAGCCAAATTTGAAAACCCAATAATGAAATCTTTGGTTTATAATGGAATCTTTGGTTTTTAAATGGAAATGCTGAAAAAACAAGTAAAATTATCAAGGGTGAAACCAACATCCCATGGCCACGCATTTAACAGTAATAATTTTTGGTTAACAAAAAATTATTTTACAAGTTTTAAAATTTTATTTTAAAAATAAATAAGTCTAAATAAGAAATAGTCTAAAATGATGGTTGTCCAAGGTAATAATGGTGAGTTATTGTCAACAACAGTAATGATTGAGAGTATTAATTTTGGTACTCTAATAGAGTACTAATGACATGACAAGGGAAAAAAAATATATATATATATCAAGACCAAAACATCATATCACAGTGGATGAAACTCACTACCTGCTCATTAAAACTGACTTTAGAGCTCAAAAATTAGAGTTCTAAAACATTTTTCTTCTCAACAACAATGTGGCAGCAGTGATCAACGGAGGTCGGCAGCAATGATGGTCGACAATAGCAGGTGGCCTGTGGTGGCTAGAGGGGATGAAAAAGTAGAGATACAAAAAATTGTAACCAAAAGGAATAAAAAGTTGGACCGTATATTTTTATCCTATGTTTTGAATGTGCTGTTTATTTAGAATTTTTAAAAATTAATTTCTTCACTTTTGAAAACTCGTCTAAGACAAGAAAATTTAAACTAACTGGTCATTGCCCTGGACGCCCCACCGATTAATCAAAACAGCACATTTTTTTTTAACAGTTAGCACCTGTTATTTTTTTCATTTACAATAAAAAAATTTCAAAATTTTTTTAAATTTTGCAAATTTTGAATAGGAATTTTAAATTATGTATTTAGTTATGAGTTATAAATTTTTGTATCAAATATCATATGTCACATAAAAAATTCTTCATTCAATTTAAAACTCTTTCAAAACTCATTCACCAAACAAATTTTTCACACTCAAATTATAATTCCAAAACTCACAAACTCAAAATACAACTCTCTCTTCTTAAATCATATTTAGAAAACTTTTTTTTTTTCACCAAATTTTCTAGGGCACAATAGTTGGACCCCATTCTCTGAAAAACATACAACTATTCCAAATATCAACAATTATTTGCAACTCAATTACACCCTTTCCTTTTCTCTTTTTTTTTTTTGGCATACTAAGATTCATATAAAAGCAAGATTCACAAATCAAATGTAATCTCAATTTGAAAAAAACTCACAAATAATTGCAGCACCCACAAGCGATGCCAATGACAGATAACACCAAAGAAAGGTATATATATGGACTGTTTTAGGTTCTAAACCAATAAAATTAAGTTGTGTCGACTTTCTCTGGCACGCGACACGTTCTGCAATGTCCAGCAATAACCGTTCCACACTCAATAGAACAGAACAAAGCCCGAGCCAATAAATTTGCACTTCTTGCTTTCCATTCTTCCTGAAACACCAAAAAAAAAAAAAAAATGATTTAAATGATTTCTAAAATACCATCCAATAATTGAAAGAAAACAACAAATCAGCTAATACTTACAGCTGAAGAATCCAAACTAAAATAATCAAGCAAATTGCAAAAAAAGAGAAATTTCACAATCACTGTTCATTGTCCGGTGTGGGTCTTTGCCTGATCCGCTCACGTGGCCTCCAAGAGCTGGACCCACCATCTGACGACTCGTTATCGTCATCTCTTGAAATGGATCCGGTTTCCCTCTCATGGGTCTCCCCCCAAAGTCTTGTTGATCTCCTTCTAGTCAATTGTGCTCTGGCTCTTGAGGTACTGGACCAGCTACTGCTCCTAGAACTAGTCCCGGGTCGGAAAACCCGAATTAGAAAAAACACGGTCAGCCAGCCCCCTTCATCGAAAGAAGATAAAGCGCTTTCATCACTTCTTTCCTCTCCAATCGAAGATTGTAGTGTGCTAATCAAATCTCCGAGATCTCTCTGCCGCTCCAACCTCCTCCAGTTTTGCTGCCTCTCTGGATCTGCCTCTGATGGCCGCACATAAGGGTGCTCCAGCCTTGCATGCTTTCGCAGATCTGTGTATGGGCCACTGAAATTGCAAGTCTCGCAGGCACAGCTTCTTGATTTTGCATTCATGAAATGTCGGGCTGAATCAACTACAGTCCACCCCGTGACATGCCCACGACAGAGAGGACACACCAGCTTTGTCTCCGCTTGGTTCTCACACAACATGGGTTGCATTGAGGTGGATCCTTCTTCCTCACTTCTTTCAATCTGCAAATCGGTAACTGTTGATTCTGATATCAAACCATCGGTAGAGTGTTCCACGGTAAGTTGAGTACTTTCTTGCTGAGGCATTTCTGATGATGCGTCAGCAAATGATTTGCGAAACTGGTCAAAACAGTTCGAGTGGCGGTAGCTTGTGTCACACATATAAGGGCGGCAGCCTTTGTCATGGGACGAACACAAGAGGAGAAGTGCATTGTGTGGATGTTCCATGCAGACAGGGCATCGCGCTTCCTCCCATTCTTTCACATTCTCTTTACTTTCAGGAGGATTTTTGGGCAATGATCGTTTTGAGCGGCTAGAGCTGCATGGATAAGGAGATGCCCTGGACCTATCGAAAGACACAGAACGATCTCTTCTCTCTTTTGGCATGTTGATATGTCAAACTCTAAAATGTCTGGCACCTCCCACAAGGAAGCAGCGGAATTATTTAAACTCTAAGAGAAGGAAACACAAGAAGTACCCTGCATAAGTAGTTATATAACAACATTTTAAACTTGAAACATTTAAGATAAATATGCTCTCCTAATGCACAAATGCTGTGAGAATAATAATCCAGGACATCCATTAGCCATAATGCATTCAAAAAGAAGATGCACAAATATGAGAGGGGTTAAAGTGTAATTAGACAGTGGCTTTAGCCAACACTATTTCTTTAAAAACTGTAGAAACTTGTATAACAATTTAACATAAGTTATCCCACAATCACATGAATAAATTCGATATACAATGTAAAAGTGCAAGAAAAAAAAACAGAATGCATTAACTGTTGTGAAAAGTAATAACCAAAATTATTCAACCTCGAAAATGAGGTACAACAAACACAGCAGTTTCATGCACATAATTAAGCAAAACCCAACTATACACTTCGCTTAAATAACAGAAGATTGAAACAAGCAGCAAATTTTATCACCAAAACACTTCTTTACTCCTTCACAATCTTTGCACTAAAAGATTAATGTTGCCCCATCCTCAATCACTCAACACAAAAGCTTCTATGGTTTCAAGTAACAGGTTTCTTTACGAAGAAGAGAGTGTGCAGGTAGTATATAATGATACCATTGACCGGGTAAAGATCATTCGCAATATCTCAATGACTTCAACATACTGTGGCAGCAATAGAACTATAAACTCCCACCACATAATTCCTAAATCAATCAATCCATCTGGAAAGTAGCACTTACAATATTCTTAAGGGCATATGGCAAATCAGTGGAAGAAAGAGAAACTAATTGCTTTCATGGTAATTTTTTTAGTGCAAGTATTTCCTGTGTTTTGGTGGACGTGTTATTTGCAAAGTCGCACAAATAAGACATGGACCAAAGCTTGCACCAATAAGATACCATAAAAAGTGCAATTTTTTTTTTTCTTTCTTTCCAATTGCCCCTATTCTTAATCTACTTCAGCGAAAACCACACTGACAATAGGCTTACCAAACCAAATTAAGCCTTCTGTACCAATCAGGTGGTCGGCTATATGAATCATTTTTCACCATGCCGCTCTTCACAATAGCCTTGATGAACATAATTCATAGGAGTCCAGATTTCTTCTCTGTCACATTGCACCATTTAACCACCATTGCATCCTAGAAAGCAAGCTTTTATAAGCTTTGCAGCCATAGATAGCGTCCTCCATGAAATCTGCAGAAACAGAAAGGAGAGAGGAATGGGTTGGAGGGGAAGAAGATCATACTCCCATTACATGATTCCCCACGGGCTCCCAAGTTTCAATTGTTGGATATCATCACAGCCATTTTCCAACATGACAAAGTGTTAATTCAGTTGCCCCTCAACTATGTTCCTTCAAACAAAAGATTCATCCTCAAATCTTAGGTAGTGTTTGGTAGAGTTTTAGAATTATGATTTGATAATGGAGTTGTACTTTCAGTTTGTGAGTTTTGAAATTATGATTTGAAAAGAGAAAATTTGTTTGGTTATGAGTTTTGAAAAAAGTTTTAAATTTTTAATGTGACATATGAAATAAGAAAAGTTGTTTTGAAAAGAGTTTTCAAAACTTAATTTAAAAACTTATAACTCATAACCAAACAAACAATTCAAAACTCTATAAAAATAATTTGTATATTTAAAAAATAACAAAAATAAATATATTTTTTTTTTCTAAATAATAGGTGGCGATTGGCAATTGCAAAAAAAAAATAATAATAATAAATAAATTGTACTGTTCCGGGCGGACCACCAGGTAGACTAAAAATTCAAAAATTGTCTAGTTTACCAAACATGTTTTCAAAATATGTGTTGAAATTGATTTAGAATCATAATTTGAAAACTCAAACCAAACATAACATTCAAATATAAGAGTGGAAACTTGATTTGAAACTCACCAAACACGGCCTTAATTTTTCCTCCTCTGTGATTGGAAAAAAGAAATATATACACAATAAAAAAGGATAAAGTAGTGCATGCCAAGAGCAATCTATCAGCAAGAAAATTTGGCAACCAAAAGAAACTAAACAAAAACAACATGGGAATAAAAAGAAAGCCCAATCCTTGTAGCAACTGCAAAACGCTGATCACACATTCAGCCACAAGCCACTCAACAAAGTATTATATTCAAAGCTCCCAACTACTCAGAATAGTCAGAACACATAAGCAACTAAAGAAATCTTTCTTCACCATCAGATGATCACTTACTTTGTTAAATCGTAGGCCATCATTAATTCCGTAATGCTTAATTCACAATTTATCTAGCTTCACTGCTATCATACCCATGTTGATGCATGTGGGTAGTTTTTGAAGGAATACTTTGAGATTCCATTTCTTGGTTTGCCTGTTTGTTTCCTGCTATTCCTCTACCATCCGAACCCAATCTTCAAAGTAGACATGTGAAACAAATTTGCCTTAATCTCTCGTAGCCTCTCTGTTACGCAAGAACCAGACAAAGGCAAAATGGAGAATATCTACTATTGTTGGTTTATTTACAACTATACAAATGGCTAGATAAACTGCAAATGAGCTCACAATGAATCCCATCCACATCTATATTACATCTGAACAATATATCAACCACGCCTATGTGTAATAGATACTACTGAGTATTGTAAAGACCATTTTGAAAGGGAGTGAAAAAGTGGTAAATGAGATACATACCTGTAAAATATGTGGAATTCCGAATAATGAATGAAAAGCATGTGCAAATTTCAAGCTAAGGTAAGGTGCATAATAAACCCGTCAAAAATGCAACTTTGCTCGCTTTTAGAAGCTGCTATTGATTTACTAATCATCTAAGCCCGATTCTATAGTTTCCGTAAGGTCAAATTTAGATCAACTTGACCAATTTGATTAATTTATTCCAGAACATATAATAAAATTTCTTCTGTTCAACTCAAGTTGATTTCAAATTCCTCTTTTCAAGTCTCAGCACAATTCCCACTAAATTTTCCTTTTGCAATCTCAAAAACACCTCAAAAATCCTGATAATCCCAAAAACTTTAAACACAAGAAACGAAAAAGGCAGAATTTTTTTTTCTTCCACATTTTAATTCAATACACAATTATGAAGTTACATAGCAAATGTAAGATAAATTGATAGAGAGAGAGAGGAGAGAATAAATTGTATTGATGAATATTATTATTGATATGATTTACAACACTCATTTATAGAGAGGAAAGGTGATACACATAGGATACTAATTAACACACACCGAAAGAAGAAAACATAATTATTAAACACTTTACATATTATATTCTAACAGCCCCCCTCAAACTCAAGGAGGATAGGAACCAACCAACTTGAGTTTGGAGAGAGTAACAAAACAGGAAAATAAAATAGGATAGGAGACACTGTATGGTCGTGTCAGACCGTTGTAACAGATAATGTCTGGACAATTTACGAGGTCATGCTGGACCGTTGTAGAAGCTGACCGGAATCAATGTCGGGACAGTTCATGCCGGACCGATGTAGAAGCTGACCAGAATCAATGTCAGGACAGTTTATGGGGTCATGCCGGACCGATGTAGAAGCTGACCGGAATCAATATCGGGACAGTTTACGGGGTCATGCCGGACCGATGTAGAAGATTGTGGTGGTGCACCAAGGGGGACTTAGGGAGTGCGCCATGGGGTGGCTTGGGTGATACATGGTGTGTAACCATGCTCACCATGATATATGTATAACCCCCCTCAAACTCAAATAGGTGTGAAGATAGAAACCTATTTGAGGTTGAAACAAAGGGATTGATAAAGTGGAGCAAAACAGATAGGAATAAAACAAGGGTGTTGTGCAAGCTGGATGGCAAGAATGGTACAAGGTTGTTGGTGCAGAAAAATCAGTGAGGGGGTGTGGAATTTGTGTTTTGTTTTGTGCTTTTTTTTTTTTTTTTGGGTGGAAAGAAAAGTAAATAAATAAAGAAAAATAAATAAGTAAATAATAATAATGTATTTTGGTATGGTAGGATAATATATAAACATATATATATATATATATATATAATAAAGAAAGTAAAAATCAGAGGAGGCTGGGTGTGTTGGGAGAATGGAATAAAAAAAAAAGATAAGAGTGGGTTTGTGTTTAAATAAAAGAAGAGTGGGTGGGCAATATTAAAATAAAAAGAAAGGAAAAGAGGGGGACAAAAGTTGGCGGATGGTGGATCATGGAATGGAAGAGTAAATAAATAAAGAAAAATAAATAAGTAAATAATAATAATGTATTTGAAATCAAAGAGGAGAGAGTGGGAAACATGTGAGTGAAAAGTGACTCACCAACTGAGCTTCTGTTTTTTTTTTTTTTGTTTTTGTTTTTGTTTTGTTTTGTTTTGTTTTTTTTTTTTTTTTTTTTTTTTTTTTTTGAAAATAATAATCATGTGGAGGTGAAAAAGGAAATAATGTGGGGGAATGGGATAAAATAAAATAAAATATAAAATCAGTGGGGAATGAGGTTTCCAGCGAGGAAGGGGAAGATTAAAATAAATGGTTGGAAATATTAAAATAAAGGTGGGTGATTGGTGGAAGAAAATGATGGAAGGCCAGGGTGTCCATTGGAGACGAAAGAGAGTGCTTTGGAGCTTTAACAGCCTGTGGAGCTTAAAATAAAGATGAATCAGCCATTGAAGACTAGATCTTGAAGTCCAAAAATCAACAGTGAAAGGAGTGGAATTAGTTGAGTGAAAATCAAAAACACCCACGTATATATATATATATATATAAATAGTTCATTCATAGATATGGGGCTATAGAGAAGATGAAGCCAATCGAATGAAGACAAGGGGATGGAGAGCAGAACAACACGAGAGGCGCCAGAATGAGCAAATGCCGAGGTTGGCGGTGGAAATAGAAGGCAGGCCTCAAATCGGCAAAACTGCTGGGTAGACCGACGCCGCGTTGCATAGGCGACATGGTCGGCATTGGTTCGTCACAACTGGAAGCAGTGGTAAGGTTGCAGGTGACGGACGTAAGGCGCGCGAGCTGGTTGGTCGCGAGCACACGCTCAGGATGAGAAGAGCGATGATGAGACAATTGTCTGATGAGGTGTGGAGACCGAAGGAGAGGATCAAAGCCGTCCAGATCGTGACGATCATGACGAGAGTTGCTATGATGTTGTTGGTATGGATCATTTCCTGTGAGCCTCTTGCTGGAGTTGATGGAGGTTTCAATTGGTTGAGATCCGGCGTGGTGGTGAGAGAAGTGGCTAAGTTGGTGGGTAGGATCAAGAGAGCCAGAGATGGGTTTGTTGATTTCTTACTCCAAAAACATGTTCTATATTCCTCCTCTTGCCATGCACCGAGAAAAAGAGAAAAAGAGTTGAAGTGTGTGTGTATCTTTTTTTCAATCAAACTGCCGAGAGAGAGCGATAGCCAAGTTTGAATGCATGGTTTTATCAGGCAGTCATGGCTGGAGAGGAGTGAGAGTGAGATGTAGAGAAACTGGGCCGCAACAAAATTGGACTGTCTGATCATGAATCAACGCAGATCGTCAAGTGAGTATGTGTAGAAAACACCAGTGGGCAGCGAAGGCAAGATTGCCGGCCGACTGCCCGCCGGCAAGAAAATGTAAGATAAATTGATAGAGAGAGAAGGAGAGAATAAATTGTATTGATGAATATTATTATTGATATGATTTACAGCACTCTCATTTATAAAGAGGAAAGGTGATACACATAGGATACTAATTAACACACACTGAAAGAAGAAAATATAATTATTAAACACTTTACATATTATATTCTAACAGCAAAAATGATAAATTCCCAAAAACAATCGAACCAGAACAACGCACTCGCAACTACATCAACTCAAAAGCCAAACTTTGAACCGAACTTACAAACCCTAATCAACAATTAAAACACAAATTCTAAATCAACACGATACAGACGAAAAAACAAACGAAACACAGAGAGAGAAAGAGAGAGAGAGAACCGATCCCGATCCGTGTGAAATCGGAGTCCCCAAATAAATAAAAATTAGGGTTTTCGATTAGAAAATTTACCAGAACCTCGACAAGTCAGTCGATTTGAAATAGCTGTGTTTGTGTTTGGATTTAGCTTTAGCCTCTTTGAATGAGTTTTAAGTTCTGATTAAGGTTGACTTTCTCATGAATCGAACGACCTAGAGAGAGAGAGAGATTGGTTTGAGCTTCAAAGAGAGAGAGAGAGAGAATGAAACATCTTTTCTAGGGCTGCCTTTTGGGGAGAGAAAGAGAGTATTTAAACCGTTGTTTACGTCGGCGCCGTTTTGTACTCTACCGCCAAGCTAAACACGCGCCGGGAGCGCTTGACTTCCACGCCTTCTCTCTCTTTTTTATTTTGGATTGTTTGGAACGTGCTTTGTATGGTGGTGTTTGGGAAGTTTTTGTGTTGGTTTTTTTTTTTTTATCTTTTTTATTAAAAGACAATTTTTTTGTAAAATTAAAAAAGATAAATTTAAATAAAATATTACATCTAATTCTATAATTATTTTATTTTTTCATTTATAAATATCACATCTAATCATAAAAAAATCTAGTTATCTTTTTAAATATCAAAAAAATTTCTCCAATAATATCCTACAATTAAAAAAATCTACATAAAAATTCATTTTCCAAACATCCACTATATTTTTTCACTTTTTATCTCAGAAAAAAAGAAGAAGAGAGAGATAAAATATAGATTAGATTTAAAGTAATATGATTCAAATAACATAATATGTTAAAATAATGTGTTATTTTAAAGCATACCAAACAAAGCCTTTAATAAATTACAGGGGATAGTTTGGTTTATTTTTTTAAAATTATTCATAAGTTTTAGTTTATTTTTAGTGATTTTTAAAAATATTTTAATTAATTTTTTTAATGCTTTTTAAATATACCTAATCCAGATGCATCTAAAAATAAAAACAAATTGTTAAAATATTAAAAAAATACTAAAAATAGACCCCCAAAAAAATAGAATAAAAATTTGTGTATTTTTGTTCGAATTTTTGTTTATTTTTAGTGATTTTTCTTTTAATATTTTAGTTAATTTTTTTTTTTAATCTTTTAGATGCATCTAATATTAATGTATCTAAAAGTTTTAAAATAAATAATTAAAATATGAAGAAAAAAATCAGTAACAACAAAAAAAATCCCTTTAAAAATAATTACTAAACGAGGATTGTAGCTATTTTTTTCTGGGTACTTTGTTCTTTGTTGTTCGTGTTAGGGTATTGTTATTTTTTGTCTCTTGACCTATATGTTTGCCTGTTTCTCTAACATAGCTGTTTTATATGTTTTAAAACAACAACAACAACAACAATAAAAAATTGAGAAAAAAAAAGAAGAGATAATAATATAATTATATCAAAATTATAAAATTTATATTTTCTCCAACCTTTAGAAAAGTCTGTGTAAGTTACCATTTTCTATTATTTGTTTACAAAAAGTTATCTATCAAATTATTTGGTACAATGTCTACTTACGCAATAATAGTTTAAATAAATTCAAAATTATTAAATTGCAAACAACTGTTTTTTACCTCTACTTTTTTATTATCAATTTTTTAAACATGCTATTGTCACCTAGTTGCCGCTTATGTAAGTTTTTGTACGAGATTATTTGATGCAACATCTATTTACGCAGTAATAATTTAAGTAATTTCAAAAATACTAATCTAGGATTAACTACTTTTTACAGGTTTGGATTACTGCTACGCATTATGCATAGTGGTAACTGTTGTGCATCTTATTGGGTCTATTCTAAGGCCCAATTCGATAATCTGAATCGTTCACATTTTAGAAAATATCGAGTAGAATATACTTGTAAAAAATTATGTTGATCGGATAGCGATAACTCTTTCATCAAATCATATTTGTATCTAAAAAAATGAATTATAAGTATAATTTAAAATATAAAACTAAATGTTTACAAAAAAAAATAATAATAATTGAGTGTAATTTAAAATATAAAATTAAATGCAAATGTGATTTGATAAAAGAGTTGTCGATATTCGATTAATGTAATTTTTAATATGTATATTTTACTCGATAGCTTCTAAAACGTATACAATTAAATTATTGAATTGGTGGTCTAATAGAGTGCACAACAGTGTTTTTATTTCTACTTTTTTTATTATCAAATCTTGAATAGACTAGTGTCACTGAACTAATTTTACTTGGATCACCGCCCGGGGGGACACTAAGGGTGAGCAGCGGATATACCGATCCGTCAAAACCGATTGAACCGAGCCGATCCGCCGCATTTTGGACGGATGCGTGATGACGAGCGGACGGTTGCGGATTGATTTTCTCCAATCCGCCAATTTGACGGACGAATGGCGGATTTGAGATTTATTTGGCCGCAACCGAACCGCCAAACCGCCAAACCACGAACACCCCTAGTAATTTATAAGATTTTGTGTTTTTAATTTGTTTAAATATTATGTTTGTGTTTTCAATTGAAAAAGAGTTTAAATATTCTGTTGAAAAAAAGTTTTCAACTTGAATATATTTTTTGAATTGAAAAAAATAAACTTAATATTTATCTATATTTTTTGGTTTTTAAATCT